AACTTTCTCTCAGAGTTGTTGGCTGTTTTGTGTGCAATTGGGATATTGGGCTAGAGAATGGCCAGGTTGGGGTGTTCTATTTTGACGGTAGATCATATTCCATTTATATTTTTCAGTTTGTAAAAATGTACTCCGTGTCTCAGAGTGCAAGAGAATATGTTTTAAACACAATCTAAATCACAGTCTGTATAAGATAGGGCTGACAACAGTTAAATGAAATTATATACAACTCCCCATCAGGCAAAAATCTGTTTTAACAAAGTACCTTGATCTGAAGGCCAGCTGAGAAACCCTGTGATTCAAACTGGTGACATTTACCATGAAATAATAAAACAAATATTTTAGAAAACTTTTCCTTTTTTTTAAACCCCGTTCCCTTTCTGTAAAAATCTAAATAAAATTACCGCAACTTCCACATCTAAGTTTTTTTTTAAAAAGAGGCATGATTGATGATTGCAGATGCAGCATAAAACAACCTTTTAAGGTGAGGAATCATTAGCTGATCAAGCAGTTTAATTGGCTGAGCAGCAAGTGTTTTATAATAGTTTGATGGTTGCAGCTTGATTTTGCTTGACTAGCAACATCTGACTAACAGGTTGTCATGATCTCCGAAAACGGAGTGCCCTTGTTTACTCTATCAGGTTCATTTAAACATCCCAATCCTTCCCATGTTTCGTTTATGCTGGATTTTGCCCTGCATTAGGGAGATTTACTATAACAGTTGCTTTCAAGGGGATTATTCCTGTTTGCATCAGTACGGCTACTCTGGCTTGGCCTCTGGTGTAGAAGTATGCCTTAGCTGGGAATCTGAGTTTGTGATATAGTCATTTATGAGCGATTAAAGAGTGGCTTTTTAATTGGAGTCCTGAAATGTTTGGTTACCAATGCAGGAACGTTTAAAAAAAAAAAAAGTGATTAAGTCCACGTTTCATTTTATGTAAATCCATTGTTCATCAAAATGATGTTTAACCTATGTGAAAATTCCTTGTTTGTATGCAGACACCAATAATAAGAGAGGTGGGCATCAACGTTCTCCTGATCTTTGGTGTCTTTATCCTCTAATGATAGGGTCTGTAAATCCAAATGTAATATTAATGGGTACATGTAAATTAATTACAGAGGCATAGACCAACATGTCTTTTGTTTACTACCTGCCATTCCTTATTCTATGCTCCCTGGTTCCTCTCAGGAAAAATTCTGCTTTTAACTTCTCCTGGACTAGGGCTCAAAGAATTTGTGCCTGTCAGTCTCTCTTCCTCACCCAGACTGTGATCCTGTAGTTGCTCCATGCATGGATCTCCTGTTACCTTCAGTGTGAGCTCTGGAAGTGGACCAGCCAGTGTCCCAGGCTGGAATAAGTTTTGGGAAATGCACCGTATTCCCTTTGTAGGTGACCCTATTACTGAAAGGCAGCTGTTAGACTTTAGTCAAATAAAGGAAAGGAACTGCAAGTCTTCCTCAGCATTCCTTATAGCTATGAATTAGGGCTGTCAAGCGATTAAAAAATTTATCGCGATTAATCGCGCTGTTAAACAATAATAGAATCCCATTTATTTAAATATTTTTGGATGTTCTATACATTTTCAAATGTATTGATTTCATTTATAACACAATACAAAGTGCACAGTGTTCACTTTATATTTATTTTTGATTACAAGTATTTGCACTGTAAAACCCCTCAAAAGAAATAGTATTTTTCAGTTCACCTAATACAAGTACTGTAGTGCAATCTCTTTATAATGAGAGTTGAATTTACGAATGTAGAATGTACAAAAAAAAACTGCATTCAAAAATAAAACAGTCTAAAACTTTAGAGTCTACAAGTCCATTCAGTCCCACTTCTTGTTCAGCCAATCGCTCAGACAAACAAATTTGGTTACATTTGCAGGAGATGCTGCTGCCCGCTTCTTATATACACTGTCACCTGAAAGTGAGAACAGGCATTTGCATGGCACTGTTGTAGCCGGCGTCACAAGATATTTACATGTTAGATGCGCTAAAAATTCATATGTCCCTTCATGCTTCAGCTACCATTCCAGAAGACATGCATCCATGCTGGTGATGGGTTCTGCTTGATAACAATCCAAAGCAGTGCGGACCGACGCATGTTCATTTTCATCATCTGAGTCAGATGCCACCAGCAGACGGTTGACTTTCTCTTTTGGTGGTTTGGGTTCTATAGTTTCCGCATCAGAATGTTGCTCTTTTGAAAACATGCTCCACACCTTGCCCCTCTCAGATTTTGGAAGGCACTTCACATTCTTAAATCTTGGGTCGAGTGCTGCAGCTATCTTTAGAAATCTCACTTGGTACCTTCTTTGTGTTTTGTCAAATCTGCAGCCAAAGTGTTCTTAAAATGAACATGTGCTGAGTCATCATCTGAGACTACTATAACATAAAATATATGGCAGAATGTGGGTGAAACAGAGCCGGAGACGTACAATTCTCTCCAAAGGCGTTCAGTCACAAATTTAATTAACACATTATTTTTTTAATGAACATCATCAGCATGGAAGCATGTCTTCTGGAATGGTGGCATGAAGGGTCATACGAATGTTTAGCATATCTGGCACGTAAATACCTTGCAAAGCCGGCTACAAAAGTCCCATGCCAACACCTGTTCTCACTTTCTGGTGACATTGTAAATAAGAAGTAGGCAGCATTGTCTCCCGTAAATATAAGCAAACTTGTTTGTCTTAGCGAATGGCTGAACAAGAAGTAGGACTGAGTGGACTTGTAGGCTCTAAAGTTTTGCACTGGTTGTTTTTGAGTGCAGTTATGTAACACACAAAAAAAATCTACATTTGTAAGTTGCACTTTCACGATAAAGAGATTGCACTACAGTATTTGTAAGAGGTAAATTGAAAAATACTGTATCATTTTTACAGTGCAAGTATTTGTAATAAAAATAATAATAAAGTGAGCAGTGTACACTTCGTACTCTGTGTTGTAATTGAAATCAATATATTTGAAAATGTAGAAAAACCTCCAAAATATTTAATAAATTTCAATTGGTATTCTATTGTTTAACAGTGCGATTAAAACTGTGATTAATCACGATTAATTTTTTTGAGTTAATTGTGATTAATTGACAGCCCTACTATGAATACACCTTCATGTGGAAAAATATCCTGAGTCTGTGGGTATGTCTACACTGGAAACTTCAAAGCACTGCTGCGGGAACGCTCCCACGGCAGCGCTTTGAAGTGCAAGTGTGGTCGGGCGCGAGCGCTGGGAGAGAGCTCTCCCAGTGCTCCTAATCCCCTCGTGGAGGTGGATTACCAGCTCCGAGCACTGGGAGTGCGGCTCCCAGCACTTGGAGCCTGTCTACACTAGTGCTTTAAAGCGCTCAGACTTGCTGTTCTCAAGGGGGTGATTTCACACCCCTGAGCCCGCAAGTTAGAGTGCTATAAAATGTAAGTGTATACAAGCCCTCAGTCTCATTTACACTAAGGCCTCTTTACACCACTCTGCTATTGTTAAAGGGACATTAAATGTAATTGATGGCCACTACAAAACCCCCTTTATGCTACCATATCAGTTTAAAAGGGTCTTTATGTAAATGAGACTCAGGCCTTCTGTGTCTACATGTGGATTCCACTACAACCCCTCTAGAATATGTTATCACTATCTCATCTCTTTCAGGATTGTTTATTCACTTACCACTCCTAACTCATATTCCTTCCATGAACTGCAGTTCATTAACACTTCCTATACCTCTATTCTCTAGACTCCTTTTTTTCTCTTGCCTCACTCTCCTGTAATGAATCCTTTGTTTCTAGCTACAACTCCATCCTCTACTCCACAATTTACTACTTTTCCTCTTTCTGACCAACTGGACCATCCAAACCACCTCCAACCTTGACTCGCTTCCCATTTCTGGTGTATCTGCTCTGGCTGCCATGCTCCTAGATGCTTCTGGAGGAAATCCAGAGATCATATGGACTCCACTCAAGTTTGCCATCTTTGTATTCAGCATGGCTATCAAAGGCAATTAAACATAGCCCACTTATTTAGTCTTTGTGCAGAAGGAGGTGAATTTCATCCTTAATGAATAATCATAATATGTGGTTTAGCTGTGTACCTACATTCCCTAATATCAAAGGGATTTTTCTTTAGTCTTGTTGGAGGATGAGCTATACAGATGGGTAATATACATTGTTGGCGATCCCTCAAGGATGATTTCTTTCACAGGTTATATTTTTCATGGGTCCTTTGGTAACTAAAGAGTCCGATTCTTGATCCACAGGCTCGTTGGCAGACATTGCAGGTGGTGTTGGAAGACCGGGTTGGGTCGTGATTGCTGCGTGACTGCAGGGCGGGTGCAAGGATGTTTCGTGCCCTAGGCGAAACGTCCACCTTGTCCCCCCCCCCCCTTACTTGCTGCAGACGGCCCTCCCCTTGCCCCCCTGATCCAGCTCCCTCCGCCTAAATGCCATCGACGACCGGGGTGGCCGAAGATCCGGTCGCCGCTGAAGGACCCGAAATGCCGCCCCCCAAATGCTAATGCCCTAGGTGACCGGCTAGGTTGCCTAATGGGTTGCACCGGCCCACCGTGACTGTTGTCTTTCCTTTCTTTTGTGGCGTTTTTCTGCCACCAGGACAAGGAAGGCGATTTTCCTCAAAGTTGGACCTTCCTTCTCTGACAAGTCTTCGAGTGAAAATCACTCTGCAGCATCACCTGCTGGGTAATACCTGCAGAAGAAATTATCTGCATATCAGAATTCCATCTCTGTATCCTGTACAGAAAATAACAAAGGCCAATACGCCAATAGCTGTGTGAGACTGTTAAAATAAAAACATTTGGAGTTGAGAGGTTTGCCGGGGAGATATGAAGCTAATAACTGTCAATCAGACAGGAGTATAAATTTGCTCTGAAATCAAGAGGTGTAATAAATCTGGATATTTGCTGCTATGAACTGGCTAACAAATTATAATGATAAATTAAACTTTATCCCTCTCTACCATTCATTGTAACAAAGGAAATTTTTCTTCTTTAGGTCAAATTTGGAAACTGTAACACTCCAAAGCCCAGTTTCTTTGATTTTGAAGGAAAGCAGAAATGGTAAGAGGAAATCCTTGCAATTCTTAAAATAAAATAAAACCAGAAATTGTTATTTTTGGTCACATCTTTTAGATTGCTTGAACTAGAATCTTACTTTGCATGTATCTCTTTCTTAATGATTAAAATAATCCTTTAGGGAATTCTTAAAATGGTGGTGGTGTTCTGTTAATTTACTGTTGTATTGGTTTAATCAGCAACAAATAAATATGAGTGGGTGAAGGAGTTTCTTTTTAAGCCTGACTAGAGGATTGATGGCTTCAAAATTGGGTAAAAGATGTCTTTCCTTTTCCCAGAAGTATGAAGGTAGGCTTGCGTTAGGCCTGATCACTGTTTCATTGGTGACAATGAGTAAGAGGCAGATGTATCAGTTCTATGAGTGGGCCATTTATGTTTTTCTCTGTATCCCAGGGAAGCATGGAAAGCGCTGGGAGATTCAAGTCCCCACCAGGCTATGCAAGAATACATTGCCACAGTGAAGAAACTGGATCCCAGTTGGAATCCTCAGGTAGGATAAATGGAAATAAATGACATGCAGAAATCAATTAAACACATTTTTATTGCACAGCTGAATATTTGCATCAGATCTTCATCTAAAAGAGCTCCAGGAAAATTTAATTCACTGCACAGGAAACCTAACTTCTTAGACAGAGTAGTTTTAAATAGTATTTTAGCCATCAGGTTTATTACTTTATCAGATATTTAAGGGTTTCATAGTCTCTCTGGTGTATGGGCATTGTCTCCTTTTAAGAGGACCATTTTTTTAACAGGTATCTCTTAACTGGGCACCATCATAGCATCAAAATACAGTAGTCTTTACAGCAGGGGTGGGCAAACTTTTTGGCCTGAGGGCCACATCGGGGTGCCAAAACTGTATGGAGGGCTGGGTGTAGTGTATTAAATTGCTCCCCGTAGGAATGTGCTACTTATGGTGTAGTACTTACGGCTGCCAGTCCTGGTACTCTGAGCGGCATGGTAATGGAGCGGGGGGTTGGATAAGGAGCAGGGAGTCCTGGATAGGTGTGGGAGTCCCGGGGGGCCTGACGGGGCGGGGGTATGGATAGGGGGCAGGGCAGTCAGGGGACAGGGGGATTGGATAGGGGGTGGTGGGGTCCCGGGGGGGAGGTTAGGGGCAGGGGGTCCCGGGGACAAGGAGCAGGGGAGTTGGATATGTTGGGTAGGGTGACCAGGTGTCCCGCTTTTATAGGGACAGTCCTGATTTTTGGGTCTTTTTCTTATATAGGCTCCTATTACCCCCCCCCCCCCCATCCCGATTTTTCACACTTGCTGTCTGGTCACCCTAGGGTCGGGGGTTCTGAGGGGGGCAGTCAAGGGGTGGGAAGTGGGAGGGAGCGGATGGGGGAGGGGGCCAGGCTTTTGGGGAGGCACAGCCTTCCCTACCCAGGTGTAGTGTATTAAATTGCTCCCTGTAGGAATGTGCTACTTACGGTGTACTACTTACAGCTGCCAGTCCTGGTGCTCCGAAAGTAGCACATTCCCATGGGGAGCAATTTAATACGCTACACCTGGCGGCTCTCACTGCCCTGCTGCCCAGAGCGCTGGCAGCACGGCGAGCTGAGGCTGTGGGGGAGGGGCCGGGGACTAGCCTTCCCGACTGGGAGCTCAAGGGCTGAGCAGGATGGTCCCACGGGTCGTAGTTTGCCCACCTCTGCTTTACAGGGTGTTTGACTTAGAATTACAAGGAACTGTGGAATGTCTACATCCTTTTTATACACCTTTTAAAAATACCTACTTCAGGCATGTTGATTTTATGATGGTAGAAAATTTGTGGTTTTGTTGCTCCTCCACCTTAGGAAAGAGAGTTCTTGTCTGAGCACAAGACTTGGAACCAAGAACTTGAGTTCTAATTCTGGTTTTGATGCCTCCTGTGGCTTTAGGGTAGATGTGGAACTTCTGTGGCTCAGCTTCCCCATCTGTAAAATAGGGATGCTAATGCTCCTCTGTCTCAGAAGCGTGCTGTGAGAATTAGTTAATATTTGCAAAGTGTCTGGAGGATGAAAAGCATTATAGAGCATCTCTAGAAAAATAACTCTGGACTGTACAATCCCATTAGCATACAAAAGTCAAAGTGATTTGCCATGCTTTACCTTACATAAAATCTTGTCCAATCTAAAACATCCATGCAAAATAAGGAAAAAATCCAATAAATATTGATCAGTTAAAAGCCTGAATGAACAAAAACACCTTGCAGCTCAAGTATTATTCATAAAGTAGGGGGGGAAACCCTTTCTATATCCTTATGGATGCAATCGCTGTAATGTAGCTTCTGTTGATAAATAGAAATCTTCCCATTGAAATGTCATGGAGTGTGGCATGCTCATCCTCTGTTGGTGGCTAGTTCTGATTTGTATGGTAGTTCTCTGCAGCAAGAATCTAGGACATGAATTCAAGAATCGACTGTGTTTTTCAAAATGTCTAAAAGAATCGAACCACGCAGTAAATGAAGGAGCTGGAATTCTGACACTTTTTCCTGGCAAAGAATGAGTGCATCTGAGCATGATTACTCCCCCCAGTATCCTGCGCTGCACATAGCTATCCTCTTCACTCCTCAGTGGAAGGTGGATAAGCAGAAACCAGCATATGTTCTGGTCACACTGATACAGCTGTTGGAGGTACTTTCATTGATTGCAATATCTATGAGGTGAAGAATTTAAAGGGCACCATCCTAAGCGCTAGACTTAAAAATGGACCTGTCTTGATTGTGCCAGTTCAGAGCTCTTTCCTTGAGGAGTCAGTCATGACATTTTCTTTCAAAATTAATTTTTAAAAAAGCATATGAATTCAGTACTGGGAAAGGGTGTTGAATGGATATCCCTGGAGACTGAACTCCACTATTCACATAGAGAGCAGGCATTGTCACCCATCCAGCCCATTGACCAGGAAAGGGAGTTCCGTCACCAACCTCATTTAGGCCTTGGTGCCTCTGGGACTGCTAATAAGTGGTAGTGATTTTTGCATTGTGGATCCTTGTCTGCTGGGAACTGAATTGAATAACAACAAAGCCCCATAGTATACTAGTGTGACATTTTTTAAATTGTATTTGTAAATGTTGTGTGACTTTGAGAGTCCTGTCAGGAGAGAAACCGGCTCAGTCTGTATAGAGGTTCAAAGCATTAGTGCACAGGCTTGTTTACTGTGAGTTTCACACTCATCCATGCCTCCTTCTTTTTCCTGCTTTTCTTTTTTATTTTATGTTTTCAGTCATAGAAATGTTTGAAGGGTTTGGGGAGCAATGATAGACTCTGAAAGGGGGCCACTCTTAAGGCAGGTAGGGCCCAAATTGTCTTACCTTGCCAGTTTCATCTAGGAGTGAATGCCTGTCTCTAGCAGATTTTAGTATCCTTACAGCTCTGAAACCACAAAAGGGAGGCTATATGGATTTCCTTTTCAATAGGTGTTTTGCCCTAACATTTCAGCAGATCTAAGTGTTTTAGATCGTCACATATGTAACTGAATTTCTTTCTCAAAACTTTAAAGATAATAAGCATTTTCTGTTTGCTTTCAGAACTCCCAAGTATAATGATAATGATAATGAAAATGACGTAGGGATAATAATGTAAGGCTTTCTGTCTTGATGTGCATTCCCCATAGCTTAGACCCTGAATTTCATATCCTGATTGTATCCCTTGCCTTGAAACTGCCTGTGAGTGAGCCAGAAATCAGTTGAACAAGGTAGGAAGGCTCTGTGTTGGAGGAAGGTGGTCAAAAATAGAATGGGGAAGAGGAGAAAGTTGCTACATTCTGCAGCATTTGTGCAGGGAAAGGGTGTTAAGAGGGAGAGAATTATTAATTAGTACGTTAAACAGCAACCTCTTGTCCCCATGTGTAGTGAAGTGAGACTCACCCGTGTGGCACCTCCTGCTGGTTATCCTGGGAATTAGCTCAATTTCAGCCCAGATCATCCTCTGCTGGCTGGCGGCTCACCTGCCTCAGGCCCCATATCCCGCCCGAACCCCGGTGCCCTTTACCTCAGGGTTCTGCCCCTGCAGTACCCCCTGTGACAGACCCAGACCAGAGGGGTACAGGAGTCTGGTAGAGGGCAAATATACTGGTCACTGGATGAGTAGTTTTCTGTTCCCTGAGTGACCAGAGCAGGGGCTGCACTAGAGTAATCAGGAACCTGCTAGAACCAGTTAAGGCAGGCAGGCTAATTAGGACACCTGGAGCCAATTAAGAAGAAGCTGCTAGAATCAATTAAGGCAGGCTAATCAGGGCACCTGGGCACCTTCAGTTTGTGGGGCGAGTGTGAGGAGCTGGGAGCAAGAGGCACAAGGAGCTGAGAGTGAGAGGGTGTGCTGCTGGAGGACTGAGGAGCACCAGCGTTATCAGACACCAGGAGGAAGGTCCTGTGGTGAGAATAGGGAAGGTGTTTGGAGGAGGCCATGGGGAAGTAGCCCAGGGAGTTGTAGCTGTCATGCAGCTGTTACAGGAGGCACTATAGACAGCTGCAGTCCACAGGGCCCTGGGCTGGAACCCGGAGTAGAGTGCGGGCCCGGGTTCCCCCCAAACCTCCCAATTGACCTGGACTGTGGGTTCTCCCAGAAGGGAAGGTCTCTGGGCTGTTCCCCAACCCACATGGTGAATCTTTGAGGCAAGAAAATCCGCCAATAAGCGCAGGACCCACCAAGATAGAGGAGGAACTTTATCACACCCCGCTCTGGATCTCCCCTCCCAGGGGAACCCCCATCCTCTAAACCCACCTTGCTTCAGTGGCTACTGCCAGTCATCATCTAGCTCCTGCTCACTGGGGCAGACTGTAGTCTGTAAACCACTCATCATTGGCAAGGGAGAGTTTGGACCTGCTGCCTCTGCCTAACCCTGGGCTGCACCTTTGCAACCCTGGTACCTGTTTTGGCCTTTAGCAAGGCCCGCAGCCTGGGGAATTTGCCAGGCTGGAGTTCCCCAGCTCTGCTAGTCTTTCCCGAGCCCTGTACCCTGAGCTCCCAGGCAGCCAGGTCCTTCTCTCCCAAGCGCTAGAGAGATACTGACCCAGCTCCTGGCTCAGAGCCCTTTTATAGGGCCAGCTGTCTCCTAATTGGGTGTGGCCCCAGCTGTGGCTGCCTTCCCAATCAGCCTATTCTTATTGGCTCTCAGCCCCAGCCCTCTCCAAGAGCTGGCTTTTAACCCTTTCAGGGCGGGAGTGGGGTGACTGCCCTGCTACACCATGACAGTTTCCATTAATTGTCTATTGTTTAACCAAGTTAGTAATGGTATACAGGAGAACCAGACCTCCCCTTCTCTCATCTCTCTGATGCTTATCTCATGCCAGCTATACTCTGATTTTGTTGCACCAGGTCCACCTTCCTGCAGCCACAAGAGGGAGCTCTGTTCATTATAATAACTAAGGTATATTTAAAAAGAACAGGAGTACTTGTGGCACCTTTGAGACTAATGAATTTATTTGAGCATAAAGGTGATAAAATAATAAAGTCATTATAGTCTTCAAATTTTAAATTTAATTTTAAAAAAAGATTTGTGTGTACAGTA